CCAGATACAGTTGACCCTTGGACAAAGTAGGGGATAGGAGTGCTAACACTCTCTATCTACAGCTCCCCTATATCCACCGTTCTAAACCTGCATTCAACCAAATGCAGGTAGACTGTGTAAAACTGTAGTTTTAACTGTTGAAAAAAATCTGAGGATAAATGGACCAATGCAATTCAAACCTGTGTCACTGAAGAGTCAACTCTATTTGTTCTCCAACCATTTAAGTCAAAGGAGTTCCTGAAAGGTCATTCTCTTAAAGCTCCAGGATTGCCAGGAGTGACTTTTTATCTGGGTTTGCACACTTCTAAGATTCTGAAACTTGTGTGGGGCAATTTAAACATTTGGAGTTCATTTAATCTAGTAGAGGAATAAAAGCAACTTTCTTAAGAAATTCCTGTTTAAAAAAAAACCTTCTGGAGCTTTCAGAGTTCCTAACCTAAGTCTACTTTCTTAGCCTCTGCTGATCTTAAGAGGCTCCTCGTATCCTTCAAATAAATCCTTTATTACTTAGGTCAGCTACAGTTGATTGCCTGCAACAGAACCCTAACTGGTACTCTTTATAAGACTGGGACTGTGGCCTAGTAGACAATGCTCATCTCCCCAGACATGTCTGCAAAGGACTTTGCTTAATGGATGATATTCTACCAACCCCTGTTTGAGTATCTTGGTCATTCTTAGAATTTCTGGAAGCTGTGTATCCTCAGGACAGTGAGGTATACGCCACTATGTTCTATTCTCAGCTCCAAATCTTGCATGTCAGTAATTATTTCAATGTTTGGCTCTAGTTTTACCAAGCTGTTATATGTGCAAACCTGTATCCTGAATGCATTCCATACTAGCTCTAACATTCACTGAAACTATATCCCAAAGTACACAAGCTTTTGTCTAAAATTGTTCTCAAGCAGATTGATAACAGTAAATGTTAGACAATCACAAAAATATACTCCCAGTTTAGTATTTTGGTAATGAGACCCTTATGCTGTGTTAGTATTAACAGTGTATACACCAGTGTTAAGAAAGGATGTTTTGTTTTTACTCACATGCTAAATGGTTTCTTTTAGGTTTAATCTTGTTTGCATGTGGCATCTGTGCTATGCAGGCATACCTAGGACTTTATTGTGGGTTTTGCTGCAGACCATTGCAATAAAGCAAATCTCAATAAAGTCACACAATTTTTTTGGTTTCCTAGTGCATAAAAAAAGTTATGTTTATACCATACTGTAGTCTACTGAGTATATAATAGCATTATATCTAAAAAAGCAATGTACATACCTTTAAAAGTACTTTGTTCCTAAAAATTGCTAACCATCATCTGACAACGTGGGGTTGCCACAAATCTTCAATTTGTAAAACAAACATATAAAAGCACTATCTGTAAAGCACAATGAAACAATGCATGTACTTTTATCTTCTTCTCAATACAAGAACCTACTGTATACCATAGGGAAGTATATTCAAAATCTAATAATAACGTATAATGGAAAAGAATCTGAAAAAGATTTTATATACCTATATATACTTCTGTATATAAGATACATACATATATGTAAGTATATATATATATATATTCATGTGTGTATGTGTGTATCTGTATCACTTTGCTGCACATCTGAAACTAACAACAAGAATGTAAATCAACTATACTTCAATTGAGAGAGAAAGAGAGTGAGTGCTGTAAACTTTGAGATGATTAGTAAACTATCTTTGGTAACTAAGTTGATAATGATTTTGGTAATGAAAGCTCTCTAATCATTCTGTCAGCTTTAAATGGAATGATTCTGTGGCTTTATGTGAGGCTTCTAATTGGTGCTGGGGTTTTAGTCTTGCAAGTTACATGTTTAGCATATTAGAATTCTAGTCAATATTCTGACACTGACCTTAAGAGAAACTAAAAAAGGAATTACAAAATATATACATAATCCAATTCATTTCCTTTATCCAGAAACTGTAACATTTGTCTACAAATAAAACAATACCAGCTGAAAAACAAATTCCTGCTGAGGAATGTGTTTATTCAGGCACACTCAAGGCTTGAGACATCGGCAACACCAAACCTTCCAGTTATAGCTACTAAGTAATGTTAGGTTTGGAGAAGGCAATGGCAGCCCACTCCAGTACTCTTGCCTGGGAAATCCCATGGATGGAGGAGCCTGGTGGGCTGCAGTCCATGGGTCCCGAAGAGTCGGACACAACTGAGTGACTTCACTTTCACCTTCACTTTAGTGCACTGGAGAAGGAAATGGCAAACCACTCCAGTGTTCTTGCCTGGAGAATCCCAGGGACGGGGGAGTCTGGTGGGCTGCCGTCTATGGGGTCACACAGAGTCAGACACGACTGAAGTGACTTAGTAGCAGCAGCAACGTTAGGTTACTGTGATCATATAGGCTATTTAAATTACTCCAATCCAGCTACTGATCACATGGTGAGTTCTGGATCACTCTGTAAGTGGGGGACTGAATGAGAAAGGAGATAAATTGTACAGGAGACACTGAATTGATTCAAATATTGAGTTTCTAAACTCTATTTTAAAAAGGCCAAGGAACAGTTTGAGATACACCAGACTTACCAGAAGTCTTCCACCAATGAGGCTTTTAAAGATACATCACAGCTGATCATTTCATCTCAAACCCTAGAACAGAGATCTAGGGATATCATGGAAATAGGTTAAGCATGAAGAATGCTCAAAAACTGAGCCTGGCCAATAGATAATGTACATCAGTGTGTAAAAGTAATAAAATGTGATAATGAACATTTGAACAATACTATGCCAGGCTCTATGCTAAGTGTCTTATAGGCATCATCTCATTACACACCCCATGAGTGCCACTGTCACACCATTTTATAAATGAGCAACAGTTAGATGATTAATCCAAGGATACAGTTAATTGATGGAGAGTCTGCATTTAAACTCAGGCAATCTAACTCTAGATCTAGTACTTCTGTTACCCAAAGTGAAATATACCTTAGAACTTAGAATCCAATGCATGCCAAAAGCTTATGTCAAATATGTCTATAGCAGAAGGATCTATTACATAACACCAAACATTCTTTAAAAGCATATAATAAGGTTTCCTCAGTTACTTTAAGACACTAAGATACCTAGATGAGTCATGTAGTGTTGGCTTTGTGTGGTTAGTATATTTCTCTAACTTCATCCGATGATTAAAACTATGATAAATTTAACTACTACTATTGGTTATTCTGAATTTAAAGGAAGATAAAAGAAAGAACATGAAGAGAGGTATATTACCTCTATTTTTGATCAATATGCCATCAAAATTAAAATTAAATGACTACTAAAATAAGATACTAAAACAAGGTAATAGGTTAGATACTAGAATGTATGCTATAAAAATTACACAGCAAGATGAAAAGAGTCTAAGGGCAAGTTTTATAAACCAAAGCAACACCAGAAAATTTTATGTAACTGAAATAAAGGAGTAAGTACAGAAAACTCAATTAAGAGGGACCTCTTTATTGCATATTTATAAAATAATAGTATAATAGTTATTAAAAATGAGGATGAAATATTTTATTTTTGGTATTTTGTGTTTTGCATCAATTTTTCAATCATCTCCACAATTTTTCAAAACTTGAACCTCTGCCCCACCCATCATTCAAAGAACAAATGATGAACAAACTATCCAATGGGTTCTTGTGAGAGACTTATTATCAAAGAAATTAATGAATAACTCATAAATAACAACAGAGTTTTCAAAGAAATACAATAAAAACAAAAATTCAGAAGGCACATCAAGATCATATCGTGCCATTTTCCTCATGCTTGTGTTTTAAGTGCCTATAACAGAATTCTGGTTAGTGACATTTTGGACAAAACGTGTCATCTTTTGTGCACACAGCATCAAACGACTACAGATACAATAGGGGGATTCTGATGTGTGTATCTGTACTAAGCAGGGCATAATTTATAATCTGCTAAGAAAACAAAAAGTCAGGATTACAAAATGGATATTTTTAGCACATTTAGTAACAGCTAGTTTTAAACTATCATTTTATTTTTGATGACCGAATTATATTTGACATAATTAAGGAACATATATTTTTAAAATATTGAAAACCCATGGTTATAACAGAACTGTTACATTAAACAAAGAAAGGAAAAGTCACATACATGGGCTGAATGGCACTGAGGTTTTTCAAAGCCATTCTTTTGTGAGGCTTTCAGCCCACCTTTACATATATCAATAAAAAAAGTCTCTACTCAGCATGCTTGCAGCAAGAGGTGAAATTGGTGTTGATCACACAACTGCCTGATAACCATTTAGTGCTGATCACTGAACAAGCATTTTTATTTAATTATCCCGACAACCATAATAGAGCCACATCTAAGTTTCTGATGTCACTGACTTCAACTATTCAACTCCAGAGAAACACTCAACTTAAAAAAAAAAACCTGAAATAAGTGACAACTAGAAATGGCTGAATCATTGTACCTTTTAGACACAACCATTAATCTTAGTTTTGCTATATGCTATTTGGTACTTTTTGATTCAGTAGTTGGATAAAAAAAAAAGTTTCTGTATTCAAACCTATCTACAGAATGTCAATATAAAATGTGTGAATATATACATTTAATATACACACACACGCACACACACATACACACACTCTCACATATCTAGAAATCACATATCCAGCACTTAACCACATCTCCAATTCTCACTAATGACTCAGGAAATCATCTGTTACCTTAAGACCAGCTTAGACGCTATAAGGCTGCAACATATGGCTAAAGAGGTCAAACACGAGCACCCGCAGTCGGGCTGATTAAATTGTTCCTCCTCATGATTTTTCACAAGTAGTAATACCATTTATATAACAACTATGTCTCAATAACTTAGAATTCAGAGTATAAAACCAGTGTCATGAACATAAAACTCTCTCACTGTTGAAAAAACACTCCTCTTTCAGTTATTTCCACTAATGATAAGAGGGTACACCAAACTAGTCATGTTGAACTGTACAAACGATCTTTACTCTTAATCTAAACAAACATGTGTTAAAACATTCTGAAATGCTGCATCCTTTGACTTCTTCATCTTTTCAATTGCCCGATGCAGGTCCTGTTGTTGCACTGGTCGAATTTCATCTTCATCATGGCTAAAATGTAAAAAAAAAAAAAAAGACAAAAACAAAACAACCCACCAACATTCAATAGCTTTAAAATACATCTCCCTAAAATATTTTACCAAGATTAAAAAATGAAGTCTCTTTCCCATCCAAAACCCCCAAAACAACCACAATTAACAGCTTAAGGAATTAATCTACAGATAAGTATCTAAAAAAATTTTTAGAAACACTGACTGCCAAGAGGTAGGAAGCTTAAATGGCTGACTATAAACATTATAGCTTGGTTAAAATCAAACACTTTACACTAAGAATATATAAGTGTGAAATTTGATCTAAATAGGATTATAATTCTAATGAATGAATAAAAAATTATTCCCATGAAAACTGGAATTAAAAAGTAACAGTTGTAGGTATCTATTATTCATGTATGTGTTTACCTTTGATGAACTGAAAATAAAATTCACTGCTATTAATAAAAACCAACTACTCTTAAGTTCTCCCCACTTCAGTAAGAAGGAAACACAATCCAATATATAATGTCTCCTCTGTCATTTACACTTAGGAAAAAAAATTCAGGGAAAAAGTTATGATAACCTAAGTGCATTACCCACATTTTTCATACTGAAATGTAACATTTTCAGGGCTTTAAGGTCAGCAGAGAAACCATTTTCACTAATGTAATTTAGGCAATAAACAGATGGAGTGACCCTCTCCACGGAGGGGCCCAAGGAAACACTGAAGACAGGTCCAGGAAAAACTACAGGTTAAAAGGGTGGCTTTTATGTGAACCTTTCTATACCAAGAAACCTTTTTTGGCAAAGCTTGCTATGGCAATACAGTGTAAGTAAATGCATGAATTAGACAGGCAAATCCAGGTCACTTGGAGCGACAGCCTCAGGGGATGGACAGGGAGACTGAGAAACAATAAGGCAAGAGCTACAGAGCTCATCCACACAAGCCCCAGCACACACTGGTTTGCCGAGTCACAGAAACTCTTCCTTAGAAGGTTGATATTTTGAACAGGGGTTTAGAAATGTTCAGTGTTACACCAGTCTAGGGTGAATGACCTTATGGGAAACACAGGACACTAGTTTATCAGAGCTGAGCTATTCCAGTTCACTAATAAAGCTGGTACAAAATTGGTTTCTGAAACTCAAGATACTTTGAAACTGGTTTCAAGTAAAGTTTGCTGCTGTCACAAATGACTTTTTTTTTTTACTAAATACATTATTAACAAGTTGAAATCTAGTCAGCAGCAACGTCCCCATAAATGTGAAATTTCTGGAAGACAAGGTACTCATTTCCACATGAAATTAAATTTAAAAATTTAAAAAACAAAAGCAATCTAGGGATATCAGAGTAACAGTTTTCATGGTAGAGATGGGCAAGCCTACATTTCTGTGAGCTTGATGTAACCCAGTTCATGGATGTTCAGAGAAATTCAGTTTTTACTTCTTTCTCTTCATTCCAGATGCTCCCCATAACCACCCTCCCTTGCAAATTCATTTCCAGAACCCCTTTCAGAAAAAAGGCAATAAATAAAGTTGGTCAATTTTTTATTCCAATTTATCTTTTCATTTTGTAAACAGAGCTGGTATTATAAAGCAAAACAGAAGACCTAACCTAAGCTTTTAATAACCTAAAAGCTCTAAAAGGGTCTGACAAATATTAAGAGATGAACTCTAAATACACATACCTTTCTTCCGATGTAGAATTAACATATTCTCTGACACAGAGGAGGGCAGCATCTCTACACATTTCTTTTAGGTCACTGCCTGAAAACCCATCAGTTTCCTGGGCAACTTCTAACAGGTCCACATGCCTATCCACCTTAAACAAACATAAAACATACTTTAAAAACAAATATAAAATACATGACAAAAGATATATCCAAACACTTCTTAGAATTGAAGAAAGTTAAAGCATACTGGAACAGCAGGGGAGGAGAATCATTAGAAATTTTCAGTTCTAGAAGTTTTCTTCTTTTAACCATAAAAAGTTTAAGATTTGAAATCTACTTTTCAATAACTGTCACTATGACCAAAACTGAAATAAGTCTCCCGAGATGCTTCACAGAGTGGCGGGGAAGAAGGCATTCAAACACTGTTGGGTTGACTTTGGTACCTCTTAGGAAGGTCCCACGTTCCTAAGAGGTGGGGCACTTTTCTATAATATAGTCAACATACATGGCAAACAGCCCAGATCATTAAGTCCTGAGTCCATTACAAAAATCATATTCCACTGACACATTCTAACCCTCATTTGAACTGTCATGCTGTGGTATTCTATTCTACTTCCTCAACACTCATTCAGCACCTATGGTTTTGCTCCCCAACTAAGCTTATATAGTGAAGCTAATAAAGTGATCCTCCTGGTCATATAACAGACTTATAATTAAGCTTATATGAAGATTAAGAAGAGAAAGTAAATAGTAACTAACATGTAATAAATGATTCTTATGTGTCATTTGCTGTACTAAGTACTTTACATGGATTATGCTCATTTAATCCTGTCAGGGAAGCATTCTCATTTTTAATTTCAGATAATAGTAAAACCTGTAGAGGTTAAATAAATTGCCCAAGGTCACACCACAGACACAGCCAGCATTTGAATACTGTGTAGAGAGATCCAGCTGTATTTCTCCCCCCACCTAGCTAACCATTTCTCTTAACATTTACTTTCCCCAAGTTGATATGAAATGCCATCTTTATCTGTTACTAAGTTCCCACTTGTCTTTGTGGAAAACTCAGTGTAAGTTAAGAGCAGCAACTCTGCACAAGGACAAGAAGAGACTTGGAGGTAAGATGACATGGAGTCTACTGTTAATTCTGCAACTGTGACTTCACATGGCAGTGTACTCATTCCTAAATGTGGAGATTAAATAAAGAGAAATCACATGCTCATATCCTCTCTGATAAAAAGAAAACTGAACCCAGAAGGGAGGTGTGAAGTAAGTAAGGAAAATGGTAAATTATATACAGATAAATGTAAATAAGTTAATATATAAACAGTAATAATAATCATTTAATTTGGTGGCGCTAGTGGTAAAGAACCTGCTTGCCAATGCAGGAGCCATAAGAGATGTGGGTTTGATCCTTGAGTTGGGAGGATTCCTGGACGAGGGCAAGGAAACCCACTCCAGTGTTCTTGCCTGGAGAATCCCATGGACAGAGAAGCCTGGCAAGCTATGTTCCAGAGTCACACAGAGTCAGACATGAATGAAGAGACTTGGTACGCAGGCACCTAGAGAACTAAGTAGCACTAAAAAAGAACGTGTAACTTCCAAATGACTAGAGGAAGAGGGGAAAAAGAATGAAGAACACAAGAGCAACACTGAAGAATGAAGGACTGGGGCAGAGGCAGGGGAACTGGAAGGTGGGAGCGGAAGGTATGGGTGGGGTGAGAGTGGGGGGGAGTCCAAGGAGGAAAAAAAGCTTAATAAATGGAAAGCACTAAAATAGGAAAGAATGAATCCAAATTTATCAACAATCACCACAAACACAAACAAATTATTACATAATGATAAAAAATAATTCACCAGAAAAATATAACAGACAGACAGACCTACAACGATACTGGGAGGTCTGTCACTTAACATCTTGCGTACTGATACATCAGAGAGTCAGTTCCTAGGGCTAGTTATAGTAGTAGCTGGAATCCATGATACACTGTACAAATGCAAAAGTTGACAACCTGATTACGAGAATTCTGTGTGCTTCGGCTGTTAGTCTCCGGTTGGTTACAGGGTTGCAAATATTTTCCCAGTGGCCTGTTCTTTCACTCTGTTCCTTTTATCTTGTCATACTTCTAGAAGTCTCAACTCTGACTACAGTCAGACTGTTCTATTCTCTTTGTAGTTTAACTTTTTTGTGTGTCTCAGGAACTTTTTTACATGTGTACTTTAGAAATCAGACATATTAGGATGTAATTTCTCTATAGTTTGTAAAAGTGAGAAAGGAAAAAAAAACTATACAACTATACCTGTACATGTGTTATGTATCTATCCACACATATTTATGGACGATACACACTACCAACCTCAGGAGAGTGCTGAGAGGTCTCTACAGCGTGCTTACCAATGACGGTGTAGGGAGGGGACACAGGGGAGGGGTGGGTATGCAACAAAATATGTCAAGATCACCTTTTAAGTCCAGGTGCTAGATTTAAAGTTATCTGTGTATGTGTTTACAACAAAGGACCTTCCAAATTATTCTTCGAGATGTTAAACAGATGTTAGTCGTCTTCCTCCTTCAAACCATCAATACCTCCACCCTATCCTTTGCCCACTCATTTGCTGATTCACACTATGCTCTAACCACTCACAAATCTTGTTCATGGCAGAGTTAAAATGTCACAAAGATGAGCAAAACAAGTATAAGAAAATAATAAAAAGAAGATTCCATTCACTGAGGGAGCAAGATTACTAAGATAGCCTTCCATAAAGGTTAAAAGAATGGTTCTATCACTACTTTGCTATGTAAACCTGTGTAACTTATTTTATGTAACTTCTCTGTATTTTGGTTTCCTCAAGTGTAAAATAGTATTAATATGCACTGCTTAGATAAACTGAGGATTAAATAAAACTATATATCACAATATGTGGCACACAGTAAGCATTGTAAAAGTAGCCCTTTCTATTTTAAGATCATGGCTCTAGACAAACCATGAAGTAGTGAGAATTATTTTCATTAGGCAAGTATGAAGGAAATTCCCAAGTTAAAAAAGGTTTTGAATAACAGGAGCAAAACAGGAATAAATTAATGAACTGCCAAAACAGCCTGAAAGAATAGCACTTATTTGTGTATAGTTATTCACTATATCTAGCACTGGCTGTCCACTGCATGGTAATCCAAGCATCTTATATAAATATACATTTAATATAAATTATCAAACCAATTCTATGAGATTGTTGACATCTTCAATTTCTGAGTGAGAAAATGAGGCATAGAGATGCTAATGGTATTTGCCCAAGGTCACACAGTAGGAAATGGTTAGGCCAGAATGGAATCCTCAAGTGTCTCTTCTAAAGCCATGATTGTTAAATTTCCACTGTTACAGAAAATATATATATTCAGGTTAGTCTGTATAGGGGAAAAAAAAAAAATCTTACTGTAGTGTTGATGTGATACTTTATTAGGTATAAATGTTATCGTTCTAATTCTTTCATACTTAACATTAAGCCAGAACCAGTATATCTTTTTTAAAAGAGTGAGCTGTATTAAGGATCTATATCAATAAGGAATGTGAAAGACTGGAAAACAGTATCATTTCAAAAGCTTTATTTTTTTCTTCAGAGAAGAAAAAACTCAAAATATAAGTCTATTCGTATGTTTGCATCAAAAACTCAGGAATGAATAAGCATGACAGTGCTCATCTTATTAAATACATTTGTATGCTTCTGATTTGAAGCATCTTTTAGCACAATGAATTTTTTTTCATATTCTATTAAACAATATGCCTTCAGCATAGAAATAGCAGCTAGTAGGAAATCAGACATTCCCATGTCAGCAATTATCCAGAGAGCATTCATATTCTGCAGTATAAAACTGACTAAAGACTCATCTTCTGTACTTTCATGAGTAAGAAACAGAATGCTAAAAATTTCCTGTACCAATGACAAACCTAATTCTAAAAGAATTTCCAAAGATACTACAGTTAAAAAAGGCAGAATACCTATCATGTTGGCACAAAGTTCCATAACATTTGCTGGCAAGGCTACAGGGCAAGAGGCACTCTAACACTGCTGGTATAAATGAGTAAATTGTGGAGAGGGAGGTGGGAGGGGGGATCAGGATGGGGAACACATGTAAATCCATGGCTGATTCATGTCAATGTATGGCAAAAACCACTACAATACTGTAAAGTAATTAGCCTCCAACTAATAAAAATAAATGAAAAAAAAAAAAAAAGAGTAAACTGGCATGAACAAATTAGGCAACCACTACCAAAATTGTAAGTGCTTCCCAGGTGGTGCTAGTGGTAAAGAACCCACTTGCCAATGCAGGAGACATAAGAGATGTGGGTTCAATCCCTGGGTCATGAAGATTCCCTGCAGGAGGGCATGGTAGTGCCCATGCCTAGAGAATCCCATGGACAGAGGAGCCTGGCAGGCTATGGTCCATAGCGTCACAAAGAGCTGGACATGACTGAACTGACTTAGCATAGACACACCAAAATTATAATATCATACTCTTTGATCTAGTAATTTTTTTCTGGGAAATTCACCCCACTAATGCTTCTGGCACAAGTGTCAAATGATGCATGTACAAGGTTATTCGATGCAGCATTTTTGTAATAGTGAAAGACCAGAATCAACCCAAACGTCCTTCAGTGTGGCACTGATTAAATAAACTATGGTATACCCATACAATGGAACCCTATGCAGTGCAAAGGAAAAAAGAGAACAGAATGAGGAAACCATACGCTACTATGGAATCTCAAAGATTAAGTGAAAACACATAGAACACTGTATATGTTTTATTAATATGGCTTATGTAGAAAAGGGGAGAGGAGTAATAGTTTATTCTAATTTGCTTGTATAGGCATAATGCCATCTGAAAGAATACATAAGAAACATAAGAGAGAAATGAGACTTTCCCCTGTGTATCATTTAATACATGTATTTTAACTTTTGAAACATGTGACTGTACTATTTTTAAAAACCTTAAATACAAATTATTAAAGGTTATGATTATCATATATTTTTAATTCTAATTTTCAACTTCAAAAAGTATTGCAATTAAATGAAAAACAAAACCTCCCTATACTTCTCTGTAAAAACAAATGTATAAAACTTGAAACTGGTCTGAAAAATATCAGAGGATTTTAATCTACAGATATGAAAACACATGGCTATTTAAAAAGCCTTTAATTACCTTTAATTAGTTCAAATATGCCATGGTGATTGAGTTATATGAGCAGCCAAGAGTTCTACAGTAATTTACAAGTTCAAAACTCCATTATTCTCAGGTTCCTTTTTCATTTCTAAAATGATTTTATGAACATAAATTTTTCTTTATTTATAGGGTGGGGAAAAACTGTAATTTGCTACTTACATTTTCATTTTTCAAGATGAGTTTCAGGATTGCTTCTCTTTGTTTCAGAGCCTAAAAGCAGGATAATTTTCAATTAGCATGAAAAAAAATAAGGATCAACTAATTTTCCTAATATTTCTTCCTTTCCTTGTAAACTACCCAATACCTACAGGAAATGACAGAAACTCTGACAGGTCATGGAAACTTTTGACTAAAGCAAGGTCTAATTCTAGACTCTAGAGTAATCATTTGTGGTTCTTGTACTGAACTGTAACTTCTTATTCTGAATCTCCAGTGCCTAGCATATGCCTTGAAATGTTTTTCAAGTGAGTAAATGACCAATGTCTTTCCTCTATAGCTCTGCAAATCTCCTTTTCTTCATTTAGGAAACTTCTGAAAACTCATTACTGCCGTAAGATTTTTACCAGTAACTGGAAGAGATGGCAAGAATACCTTCTTGGTTCTTCCATTCAACATGTAACTTCCATGACCACTGATTTGTGTTAGTGTATTTTCTTTAGTGTTGACAGTGATGTGTTTATATGCTTGTATGTTTCTGCCTCCAGTGATGCTGCCTAATACTATACTAGGAACAGGAGGTTTTAAAAGAATACCTTACATATATAGTAAATACAAGTGCTTTTAAAAATTATTGTGGCTGAACTCCTGCCTATTCCCACAACTGCTAAAACAAAAAAAAGAAGGAGAGCCAGTTACCAGGAGTATCAAATTAAAGGATGTGAAAATAAAAACCAAACTGCTGTTTCTGTAACTCAACTGTGTTAAGTATGAAGGTTAGTTTGGTATGTTATGTGATCACCAATAAGTACTTTCTGTTAATCAACATTTAACTTGGAAAGGAATTTTAAGGTAAGGTTAATCATATACTTTGATATCACAGTTATGCCTAAGAAAAAAAATTACCCTATAAAATATGTGTGTGTTCACTAAAAACAGAATGAAAGGGAGATTAAAAAATCCCAGTTTCTGCATTAACAGTATACAAAATTTATGTCAAACTTGATAAAATGTGTTACACAACCCATTCTGAAGTCACACAGTAAATATATTAAATTTACAACTTTAGCAAAGGCTACTTTACAGGCTGTTGTACCCTATGTTTTATTCTACTACTGTACATCAAAACCCTTTGCTTGCTATTAGACTACAAGCAGAGATTCTATCAATGTAATCTTCACTTTCAGAACCACTGAAGTGAACTACTTACATCTAAAAATATTCTGATGTTCTGGTAATAAAATAAGATCACATATCTTTTAGGAAGCATATAAAGGTCATCTAAACCTTCAGCAGTCAACCCTTTCCGCCTCATAACCACTGATTTTCCTTGGCACCTTCTAACTGAACTATCCCCAGAAGTCTCCATTAAATACGTGCTTCCACACCTCCCTGCCTTTGTTCACTTTGGCAGAAAAGCATTTCCTTGCTTCAGTTCAGTTCAGTTGCGTCCAACTCTTTGAGACCCCGTGAACCGCAGCACGCCAGGCCTCCCTGTCCATCACCAACTCCTGGAGTTCACCCAAACCCATGTCTATTGAGTCCGTGATGCCATCCAACCATCTCATCCTCTATCGTCCCCTTCTCCTCCTGCCCCCAATCCCTCCCAGCATCAGGGTCTTTTCAAACGAGTCAATTCCTACCATCCTTCATCCTTCAAGCCCAGCTGGATTCTGTAAGTTTCACTAACTCCTCAGACAGAATTATTAGTTTTCATCATCACCTCAGGTCCTTGCAGTTGGTTACACATACCTTTGCAAAGTACATATTACATTACTTATTTTGTGTCTGGTACCCCCCTGCAATACAGAGTTCTTTTAGGACAGGGGCCACATTCTTATTCATCAGAACCTAGTGGGTAACTGACATACAAGCTCAATAAATATTAATCAAATTTTCCAGTCTCCTGTATCACATTAAAAAATCTCTCCAATGAATTATCAGGTAAATTCTCTAGTAGACTGCCTAAGTAAATACCCTCCAGAGGAATCAGAGGTTGTAGCTGCAGCAAAACAGTCAATCAGAGTAATTTTACAGAGACCACAGCTACCAATTTTAGATAACCAAGTTTACTGTGACAAACTGTTAGGTTGAAGAGTATAAAATAGGGCAAAATTTTCAAGCCAGAGATTTTAAATTTGAAAGGAGTGATGACAGTGGAAGTTCTAAACAGCAATATATATATGTAACATGCTAATTGTATGCTGCATACAGTTTAGTACTAACCCTGCTTGTTTTTTCTTTTTTAATCTAAAAGCAAACAAAATTCAAGATTTGGGGATTCTGTGTAACACAGTAGCAAAAACTGGATCAATACCAATCTCAGATTTTCATTCGTATATTAAAGTGCAATATTGTACTTACTGGTTAATCATTAATCGTGTCAGAGGAAAGCACCAATTACAACTGCTAATAATTAATCAAATAAATAGCAGATGTTCTCCCTGTCCAGCCTTCTGAAGAGAACAGTTCTTTAACCCTAAAACCCCTAATTACATCCTATCCTAAAACAAATCTATAATTTACATTTTCTTACATATTTTCCACGGATAACTTGCTACATCCTAAAGAAAATCACTAACATGTCTAGGGAAACTTGAGGTAATTCTATACATCGAAGAGACGCAAATGTATACAGACGTAAACAACACTGATCTTCAAAGACAGTAAAAAAGCGAGAAAAGGAATAGAAAGGACAACAGTAATTATGGGGTTCTTGCTCTATTCCTTCCCTGCCTGTGATAAATAATAAGTCTTATTTTTTAATCATTCCCTTCCTGAAATTACAGATAAAGATCTGCCAAAAAAAAAAAAGGAATATTTAACTGTTCATAACAATCAAACCCACTTACAGGCTGGTTGATATGGAATCTCGTGGGCATTCTCCTCATTATAGCTGAGTCCAAATCTTGAGGACGATTAGTAGCTCCCATCACTATGACCTAAATATATAAAGAAAACAAAGCTATTAAATATACCAATAATACTCCTTTTAGGTTGTTACTACTAGGGCTTAGAAGATATAGAAAATTAAGTGGGGCTTATACTAAATCTTCTATAAGAAATCTGTTTTAATCCAGTATTACTCAAATATTTATAGATACAAATCAAAGTTAATCCTAAATAGATCAAATGACAGCAAAGCTGGTAAGACTGTTGCATTTCACCAGACTTCTAGTAACTAAAATAATGTACTTACTCAGTTATGAAGGGATTATAAAAATTTTTAAAAACCTCCTGTATTTTGTAAAATATGGTTACTTGATCGCTACATGTTGAATAACTGAAAGCTATTTTTGTTAACAGCTTGGCAGTATATGTGACAGAATAATTCAAGTCCTTTAATAATATTAAGGAGAGAATCATTTCCCTACCAGAGTCTGAGGATTCCAGTAATAGTAATAGATATACCCTGTATTTTTTCCTCTAGAATTCATACAATCATTTCACAACACTATCAGCACTGCAGGTAGAATCTTCTTAATAATAACAGAACCTCAAGCAATCCAACTTTACACAAGGCAACAAAATAAAAGCAGACATAAAAATGCTGGGTAGAATATTAAAAAAAAAAAAGAAAAGAAAAAAAATTGCTGGCACCCTGCCAGTCTCTGAGTCTATGCCACTTATTTATAAAGGATACAGAGATGAAAAATCAACATGAATAAAGACAAAGATATACAAAACAATTTAATTTCTCAAGGGCGAATATTACTGCTATTATTGATATTTCTGTATAATACAATAAACACATACATCTGCTTTCTAAAATGAAATTTATTTGTATTCTAGTGAAAACTTTTATTTCAGCCTAAGATGCTGGTAATGGACAGGGAGGCCTGGCATGCTGTGATTCATGGGGTCGCAAAGACTCTTGTTGGACACGACTGAGCAGCTGAACTGAACTGAAGATGTCTTAGGTTTTTGAAACAGTCTGAAATCTAACTCCAGAACATGTTGCAAAATCCACCAAGTTTTATATTCTACTTCTACTCTTTACATTTAATGTCACTCAACAGCCAAATTACTTTCAATTAACCAGGAGAGACTGCCATCTACAGGGAAAAAATATAAAAACAAATTTGAGAAAAAGTCCCAAAACATAATACAATCTTACAGTTGGTTTAACTGGTCCTCAAGTCAAAATATTAATGTTCTTACCTGTTTCTCTTTATTGACTTTCTACAACTCTATAAAATTAATAAGGAAAATTTCTACCAAATGTAAAACAAAATTTATCTTTAGAAGTGATCAAATGAGTTCGTTTTGTATATGAGCAAAGATCAACATTAAGTACATTTTGAGATAAAGTATTCATAAGATATTAAAAGAGAGACTCAAAGTGACATGGAAGCTTGTTGAAGATGGACCCTATTACGCTGGGAATCACAAAAACCATTGTGGTTGAGGAAGTACCTAGAAAAAACTCAAAAGGGGGCTGAAATTTGAGAAATATTCTCGGTAAACAAACAGCCTAAAACAAAAGCCCACTATGAAAGATGAAACCCTAAAAATTAGGATCAAGGAATACAGATAAACCCAGCAGAGCATGGTCTAACGAATACATGTAAGGTAATAACAGATACTCATGATGAATAAGCAAAGCAAGAGTGACTGACATTACTTAAAGAAGCAAATTTTAAGGGGCACAACTGATAACATTTACATGTATGTTAATTCTAGTGCAGATAAGCTAAAATTTAAAATGGGAAGCAACAGTAATTTTTTAGCATTTATGTAGCAAAATTAGTGCACGTTTTAGGTATTAGTTAAGACTTTAAAAAATCTTTAAAACAAAATATTAAGAAAAATTTTTTTATCATTTTACATTTAAAACAATCAAATCTAAATATATGTCTCAAAAGTTGAACTATGTCTATTAATCTGCTAAAAACAATGTTATCTTTTGTGTCTCATATATTTCAAGATGAAGAATATGTCATCAGCCAACTTGGATTTCCAGTAGTAGTGACAGGTTTAATGGGGTCATGCAACTATTTTTGTTTCCTTTGTGGCAAGAGCCACACCGTGGGGCTCTGGATGAAGCGGCTCTGAAGTATACTTCATCCAAATATTATTATTTCCTTGGTTTTAAAACTATACTCTGATAACATATAACATTAAACTATTTTCTCTTATAGGGGCTAACTATTCAATTCTCTGCATACTATAAACACTATTGCTTAGGAGGATAATTAGTTTTTGGAAACCTGCACACTAATCTCATTGAATAGATTTACCAGAATCAATTATTAATAAATATTATTTCTATTAATTCACCTACATTTATCTCTGTTGTGCTTTCTTCTCTAATCATCCAACACTAAAGGCAATTTTCCCTCAAAATGAAATTATATTTTCATAAAAGGGACTTCCCTGGTGGCTCAGATGGTAAAGAAGCTGCCTACAATGCAGGAGACCCAGGTTCAAACCCTGGGTTGGGCAGATCTCCTGGAGAAGAAGCTGGTAGTATTCTTGCCTGCGGAATTCCATGGAAAGAGGAGCCTGGAGGTCCACAGGGTCGCAAAGAGTTGGACACGACCGAGTGACTAACCAAAGTGATGTAGAAGGAGGATATGGGGCTTAATTTTCTTCCTGAGAATTATGTATCTCAGGACTTTTGAACTGTGGTAATGTGACAAAGGAGATCCTTAAGTTCTCTGGCTACAAAACATGTAAAAATTAATAATAAAGTATTAAAAAAAAACACCTCAAATTAAACAATAAGTCTGCAAAAAAGTAAAGGAATTAAACTGACAGGTTTATTTATCAGTAAAGCCTATTCATATAATGGAGGTAAGCAAGGGCAGAAGTTGACTGCATACCATATGGACATGAACAGATCTGAGACAGTGGGGTGTGCTGGACATCTGACAAACCAGAGGGCCTGATAAGAGAGCATCCTACATAAAGCTGGGGCTCATAAAGCACTATGGCCTGAGAAAAATGGTGAAAAATTACGAAACCTATTCAGCAGAGTCAATCCTCAGTTCTTGGAAAGACATATAAACTTACACATATAAACATATAAACATAAACAGCTACAGTAATCAAAACAGTATGTTACTGGCACAAAGACAGATTTACAGATCAATGGAACAGGATAGGAAGCTCAGAAATAAATCCACACACCTATGATCAATTAATCTAAAACAAAGGAAGCAAGAATATACAATGGAGAAAAGACAGTCTCTTCAATAAGTGGTGCTGGGAAAACTGGACAGCTTCATTTAGAAGAATGAAATGAGAACATTCGCTAACACTATACACAAAAATAAACTCAAAATGGATTAAAGAACCAGATGCATAAAACTCTTAGAGAAAAACACAAGCAGAACACTGACATAAACTGCAGCAGTTTTTGGATCCACCTCCAAGAGTAATGAAAATAAAAACAAAAATAAACACATGGGACCTAATTATTATTTTTCAAAATAAACAAACAGCTTATGTAGTTCAATATCAAAATAATAAACAACCGAATAAAAAAAATAGGCAGAAGAGCTAAATAGACATTTCTCTAAAGAAGACATACCAATGGCCAATAAGCACATAAAAAGATGCTCAAGATTGCTAATTATTTAAGAAATGACAGTCAAAACTACAGTGAGGTATCTATCACTCACACGGGTCAGAATGGCCATCATCAAAAAATCTACACTCAATCAATGCTGGAGAGGGTGTACAGAAAAGGGAACACTCCTACGCTGTTGGTGGGAATGTAGTTTGGTGCAGCCACTAAGGAGAGCAGTATAAGGTTCCTTAAAAACTAAAAACAGAGCTAACACATGATCCAGCAATCCCACTAGTAGGCATATATCTGGAGAAAACCATAATTTCACAAGATACATTAACCCCAATGATCACAGGAGGACTATTTACAATAGCCAAGACATGAAAGCAACTTAAATGCCCAATGACAGAACAACAGACTGATTCAAACTTGGGAAAGAAGTATGTCAAGCCTGTTACATTGTTACCCTGGTTATTTAAGTTAAATGCAGAGTACATAATGTGAAATGTCAGGCTGTGTGAATCACAAGCTGGAATCAAGACTGCCAGGAGAAATAACAACTTCAGATACACAGATAATACCACTCTAATGGCAGAAAGCAAAGAGAAACTAGACAGTCTCTTCATGAGGGTGAAAGAGAAGAGTGAAAAAGCTGGCTTAAAATTCATCATTCAAAAAACTAAGATCATGGTACCTGGTCACATGACTTCATTTCAAATAGATGGGGAAAAAGTGGAACCAGTGACAGGTTTTCTTTTCTTGGGCTCCAAAATCACTGTGGACAGTGACAGCAGCCATGAAATTAAAAGACACTTGCTCCTTGGAAGAAAAGCCATAACAACCTAGACGACATACTAAAAAGCAGAGACATCACTTTGCCAACAAAAGTCCAGATAGTCAAAGCTATGGTTTTTCCAGTAGTCATGTATGGATGTGAGAGGTGGACCACAAAGAAGGCTGAGCACCAAAGAACTGATGCCTTTGAATTATGGTGCTGGAGAAGACTCTTGAGAGTCCCTTGGACTGCAAGGAGATCAAACCAGTCAATCCTAGAGAAGATCAACAACCCTGAATATTCACTGGACAGACTGATGCTGGAGTTGAAGTTTCAATACTTTAGCCACCTGATGCAAAGAGCTGATTCGCTGGAAAGCACCCTGATGCTGGGAAAGACTGAGGGCAAGAGGAGAAGGGGGAAGCAGAGGAAGAGATGGTTAGATAATATCACTGACTCAGTGGATATGAGTTTGAGCAAACTCTGAGACATAGTGATGGACAGGGAAGCCTGGCGTGCTGCAGTCCATGGGGTCATAAAGAGTCGCACATGGCTGAGCAACTTAACAATAACAACAGAGGAATGGATAAAGAAGATGTGGTACATACATACAATGGGCTATTACTCAGCCATAAAAAGGAATAAAATGACAACTGCAGCAATATGGATCTAGAGATTATCATACTAAGTGAAATATTTCAGACAGAATGAAAATATCACATGATATCACTTGGAATCTACAATAGAAACCAACTGACAGAACATAGAAAACAAACCATAGATACCAAAAGGGAAAGGTGTGGGAGAGGGATAAAAGAGTGTGGGGTTAACTACACTACTATACAAAAAAATTAAGTGACGTAAGAACTGAGAGTCAAGACTAAAGGACTTAGGGAAAGAGTCAAAAGAAATGTATAGAATACTCAGAGCTAGTCACTTCCTTTCCTATGACATAAAAAGTTCTAATACCTGGCTTTTCTCTCTTCTGCTGTATTGTTTTGGGCATTTGGGTAATCTTTTTTAACATTTTATTAATTATGAAGCCCTCAGAATGGATGAAGACATACACAAATCATATTCTCTCAGATTCTCACTATTTATTGTTAAGTATAATTTATGGAAAAAAAATTGTAAAAAAGCCTAACAAACAACTGGACACATTTTCTACCACCATCAACAATAACACAAAGTAAGGCAGATTTCTAATACCTGGCAGCTATGATCAGTATCCAATCCATCCCAGAGACTCATAAACTGAGCTTTCATCATGGCTGTAGCCTCATGGTCAGAACTGGAACGGTTTCGTAGAAAGGAGTCTAGAAGAAAAAAAATTGTTAACCTTAGAAATTAACAATAAATTATTGATTCTTTATATAATCTCAAATCATTAATCAAAACCTAGGTTTGCTAACGAGTTTTTACATATAACATCATAAGCACAGTCCATCCAAGAAAAAAGTATAAGTTGGATTTTATTCAAAATGAACTTCCTGTCCTGGGAAAGACATGGTTTAAGAGAAGACAAGCCTCAGAATGGGAAAAAAATATTTATGAAACACATATTTGACAAAAGACTTGTATCCAAAACATATGAAGGACTCTTAAAATTCAACAAGAAAACAACCCAGTTAAAAAAATGAACAAAAGATATGGATAAAGACCCTACCTAAGAAGATACACAGACGGCAAATAAGCATATGAAAAGATGTAGCCAGGAGTTTGGGAGGAGTTTGAGAGGGATAAACATGTACAGCACTGGGGATTTTTAGGGTGGTGAAAGTATTCTCTCTGATATTGGGAAGATACATGATATTATACTTTGTCAGACCATGGAACTGTACAACAGAAAACAATGAACCTTAATATAGACTATGGACTTCAGTTATTAATAATAATAATGGTTCATTAATTATAACAAATACATCACACTAACACAAAATACTGATAATAGAGAACTGTTTATGGAGGGTATATGGGCACTGTACTTTCTGCTCAACTTTAAACTTGAAACTGCTCTAAAAAAATAGTCTTTTAATTAAATTTTTTAAAAAAGTGTATTATAATATCTGAGATTGTAAGAAAGAGAGAAAAAGATGCCCAAAAGGATGTACACTCACAGAAAGTACAGACATGAAAAAAATTCTGCTCATCACTATAGGGAGTTAAGGAAGCTTGTCCTTCTATGCCTGGGCTCTGGAGGAAAATACGTATCCCCTGAAAAATTAAAAAACCAAGATCACAGGGGCTCTCTCTCAGGTTTGAAGTCTAAATTCGAACCATCTTTCACTCTAAGAACATCCATATTAAGAAATTAGATCTTAAAAGCTCTAAGTAGAAGACACAAAACAACTCTGGATCATTTTAGGCAACACAGAATTCTCATATAAAACCAAGTCATAAGCAATCTAAAGTGAAAAATGACACATGGAAACAAATTACTGTGAAACAGTTAACAATATAAAGAAGTAGAATTTCAGAAAACAGAACAATCCAAAAAACTGTCTTATAATAGTACACTTTAAATTCTGAAGACATAAAAGGGACTGAAATTCTAACAGAAGAGCAAGCTATAGTGAAAACAGCTAAATCTGAAATATAAATAGAACTTCAAAGGTTAACTTTTAATAGAATACAAACCCAATGGTTATGAGACTAAATATAGCCAAGCAAAGAATTGCTTTTTATAACTTACTCAATGACTGATATCATTTTATGCATCAACAAAAATTTTAAAATATTGCCAAGTAAATTATAATACTAAAAGAAGGAAAAACCTGGGGCTTCCCTTGTGGCTCAGTAGTAAAGAATTCGCCTGTCAATACAGGAGACATGGGTTCGATCCCTAATTTGGGAAGATCCCACACGCCGTGGAGTAGCTAAGCCCATGTGCCCCAACTATTAAGTCTGTGCTCTAGAGCCTGGGAGCTGCGACTACTGAAGACAGATGTCACACCTACTGAAGCTCCCAAGCCCTAGAGTGCGGGCCCCACAACAACTGAAACCACCACAATGAGAAGCCTGCACACCACAATTAAGAGAGTAGCCTCTGCCTTGCTGCAATGAAAGAAAAGCCCATGAAGCAATGAAGACCCAGCACAGCCAAAAACAAATAAATAAAATTATTTTTTAAAAAAGAGGAAAAAATTCTGCCAATTAAATTATAACATGCTATCCCAATTTCAGAGATATTAAAATATAAAAAACTAAAATAGTGTGTTTTAGAACTGATAAGATATGGTAAAGACCTAGATGCTAAAACTATGGAAATGACTCAAAATTAAGTAGAGTTAAAGAACTCTGTGTGGGTGTGTGTATACATATATATGTATATATAATAAAGTAGAAATCTTGTAATTTGAATAGCAAGTAGACAGAAAATATAGATTAAATTACAAAGAAATATTGGGTCATAAGCAGATTTCTCAAAAGCAACAAAAAGATTGATAGACAAAGGACTTCTAATTTTAAAATATTGAAAGGAAATATAATTCTGTTATTTAAAAATAAAAACACAGAATGAACATATTTCACACAAAGACAGAAGTGGCTGTACTCACAATCTCTGCTGAAAGAATTTTGACTTCAGAAAGAAGGAACTTAAATCCAGAAAAGGCAGGTTCAAGAAGTAATAGTGAACAAAAAAAGTGGCAAAGTAGACCTCTAAACAAGCAATGCCAATATAAAAATAACAACCAATATAGAAAGTAAAAAATAAGAGAAACTGTTATCAGAAACATGTAAGAGATGAGAGGAGTGATTGGTATTCAAGAGCTCCAAGATCCCTGTATTATTTGCTAAGAGGGGAGAAATAATTAGCCTAGACTTTTAAGACGAGTAGCTATGCTAAGGGGCTTCCCTGGTGGCTCAGATGGTAAAGAATCTGCCTGCAATGCAGGAGACCCGGGTTTGATCCCTGGGATAGGACGATCCCCTGGGGAAGGGAAAGGCTACTACAACAGGGAAAAGGGAATAAAAAGAAAACGCACAAAAGTCCACTAGATTGGTAAATAAAAGGCACACAGTTACGTGGTAAAAATCAATCTGTCAGCTGTCAAAAGAAAAGCAAACTGACCACACTCCTTATTAAAGAGTCTCATATTAAATTTTTTAAAAATCTAGCAATGTTTTCTTATGCAAAATTTAAAGAAAAAAAAAGAATAAATTGGTAAGATACAGAAGGCAAGCATGTAACCAAAATATTTCATATCTATACCTCTCTATGTATAATTCCATACAGCTTATTACATATAATAGTAAAATTAATTCAAAGCCAGTTTTAACTAATGTAGTTTTATTTAACTAATGTAGCTTTATTTAACTTAATGTAACAAAAATGTAGATGATCCATAAAATGTTAAATAGAAAAAAAAAGAAGAAAAAAAATGTTAAATAGGGAAAAGTTCACTAATATAAAAGTCATGACAGAGAAAGATGATCTATTTATGTTGACAGTCCATATGGCAAGGAATAAAACTAGATTCCTACTTCACATTATATATTTTAAAAATGAGAGCATTTAAGGAGGTAGTGAGAGATTTATAAACCAGACACACAAAATATAAATCATAAAAGAAAAAGACTAACAAATGAAACTACATTTAAGTATTCATAAAACAAACTATCATAAATGAAAAGACAAGCCAGTCTAGAAAATATTTGTAATCATATTAAAACATTATCAAAGAATTACTAAGAAAAACGCAAATAATCCCAAAGAAAAAACTGGCAGTTTATAAGCAAGGAAACCTAAATCACTAATCAACTTGCTAAAAAATGAACAAACTTGTACTAGTAAGCAGCAAACACAAAACAAAGAAATGATTCTTGCTCTTTAAATTGGCATAAATTAATGTTACTGCCTGAAAAGAGAAGTTTTGGGGAGGAGGATGTAAGGAAACAAACTATATACTGATGAGAGTGAAAATGGGTATAACCACTTTGAAGAACCGGTGTAACACAGTAATTAACACTAGTGATCCTAATGAAGTTGAAGATGGATACATCACACAATCTGATGGTTCAACTTCTAGGTATCCACCCTGGACAAATATATGAGCAGAAGGAAATGTGCATGTAAGTCCACTGCACTCTGTTTAGAAGACATAGCATACCTATCTCATCTATAAAGATGATGGAAGGCTGTAGCTTTATGGCAAGGGAGAAAACAGCAGCAGCCAGTTTCTGAGATTCTCCATACCACTTATCCGTCAGTGTTGAAGGCTGAAGGTTGATAAATCGACAACCTGCTTCTTTGGCTGTGGCCTTGGCAATCAACGTTTTACCACAGCCTGGAGGCCCGTAGAGAAGCACACCTGGAAATTAACATATTTTATTATCTCCTTGAAGAGAATGAGATTTGCGAGTTTATGGGATAATCAATATAATATTAATTCTGTTCACACAAAAATGCTTCACAATATTCATTTCTATTTTTATTACTCTTTTCTTACAGTAGAAAGGAAGGTGCTACATCCTAAGTTTGTGTCAGTGATGACATCTACTTGGGGTTACAGCACCCCCAGGATTCCTCCCTTCATCAAACAGTCCAGTTTGGGGTAATGATCTTTGTCTTCCACTAAACTGGTCCCTGCTGCCAAAAGGTTGAGGACTGCTGCTTTAGATCACATAATAAGGAAATACTTACGTAACTTAGAAAAATTTGGAACCACCCTTAGTTTCAGATGATGCATTTAAATAAAAACCAGATTTACATAAGGCTGTTAAAAGTACCCCCTAATTTGGCATCTATTATGCTAATTGGGGTTTTAAACCAAGTCCAATTGGTTAAGTCACCCAATTACCTAGCCTAAAACATCACTGATGAGAAAATTTCCTACATTCATTAGCATTGTGAAGCTGAGACATAAAAATTTACAAAAGTTCATTCTTCACACTATAAACAATCTGCAAGAATGTAGCAAAGAACTTAATAATCCAATTGCTATCTTACTCTTTTGATCTAGGCACAGATCAATCATTTGAAATCTTCTTTGGGGAAAACTTTCTCTTAATCACAATAAACTAAATGCATTTTGTTAGGGGGAAAAAAAGCAGTTTTGCTGTTTCAGAAAATAAAAGAAATACAATAAAAAACATTTGCTGTTTTAGTTAATGAAAAAGTATACAATTTTTGACAACTGTCACCCTCTATTTACCAGAAACAAAAATTTTCTACTTCATAAAAATGTACAGCTATGGTTTCAATTACCCTTGAAATATAATTTAATGCACTTTTTGATGTAGCTGTAAAATTAGTTAAGATTATAAAGAACTACAATTTACACATATTATTTTGATATTTTTAAAGATTCTACTTTTTTGAGAAATGTATTTATCTAATAATTTGATTTCAGTCTTGACTAGCAACCTCGCTATCTTTGACAATACAATAAAGAGAAGTTTCTACTAGATGGCAATAAATAAGCTACACTACAGAATTTGTATCTGAAAGCCATGGCAACACACCTCTATAGATCTCACTGTCAATTATCAAGAAAGCTACATTTGAATTGCCTTTAATAAACCTTAAACATGATCAATATGTGAATGATTAATAATAGATGTACTGCATTTAAGGATGCATTTATAAACACTGTTATTGAGTTACAAGGCTTCTGCAGTTATTACTAACTAGGAATAAGAAAATGTTCCCCTTAAAAATAAGTAACATTTAAAAAAAAAAAACAAAAAAATTAAGTAACATTTAATTTCTTAATTTCTAGTTCATCCATTCACTATTTCTTCTAAAAAAACAAAAACAAAAAAACCTATTGTAATCTAAAAGTAAACAGAAATACCAAAAGGGGGGGAAAAAATCACTAGAATAGTGAAAAAACAAAAAGAAGTCTTATCTTCTTTTTGACAAAGACCCATATTATTACTTTGAATCTTTTTTATCATTGATTTTCCTAATCTCATTTTCTTGAAATAAATATGAATTTGAAATAAAGGGATTATTTTGACATGTAATATCTATACAGGGGAAAAATTATCTGAATTTGGAAAGCTGAAGAATGAGCAATTATCTTAGAATTATTACTTATAAAATCATTGACTGGATCTCAGCAATCTCTTGAAAATCCAACTTCAAAAATGTCAGTTCCATAAAGGCAGAAAGTTTCCATGTTCTCCAGATTTTTAATATTTTCACAAATATAAACTTTTAACATACCCTTTGGAGGCTGTAGAAGCCTGGAATTTTCAAACAAATGCTTCTTTTTGATAGGTAAGATGACTGTGTCTTTCAGATCTGTAATGACATCATCCAAACCTGCTATATCACTCCAAGTAACCTGGTAAAAGATAAAGTCAGCATGAAATTTTACAACTAATGTATATTCACTGAAGTAAAAAAACAAACAAAGAAAACCCAAATGATAAGACTTGATTATACCTAAATAATAAGTTTAAAATGATATATTAATGTAAGTATTCTTAAGCAATACTGAAATTATTAAACTACTGTGAGCTGCAAAAAGAAATTTAATAGTCAACTACCTATTATTTAAAAAAAAAAAATGCACTAGGTCTGGCAGGGATCTAATAAGCTGAAGTCACTCTATTAAGAGGAAGAAATACTCCATGCCAAGATGATTGAGAGCTAGCTGAGACAGATAATTTAGCACTAGTTAATAGGAAGAGCTCACCAGGAGTGTGCTTAATTCATACATGATGCTGTCAAACATAATAGGAAGGAGTTTAGAAACAAGGCCTAAACCCACTAAACTGGGCTTTGGAACTTTACTGATCAAAAGGAAACTGTCAAAAATTTCTATATTTATAGAGTAACAGAGGATATATGTGTTCAAAATAGATATAGCTTGTGTATTTTAAAGCCTTCTGACTCAGCTTTAAAATAAAAAAACTGGAAGGAGTTGGGGGAGGGCAGTCTATAAACTAACTGAAAAATATCTGAGAAACAAACAAAAACAACCTAGCTTTGATTTAGAAGAGTAAAGGAGCTGGAGGTGGGGCTGGTCAAAAGCAATGTTTACAACAGATTTATTTATTCTCCACCATTAAAAAAAAAAGGGGGGGGGGGAATCATAGCCAGAACTGAAAAAAATCATCATTTATTTTCATTGTAACTATAACAAAGGATCCTCATTTCAAATGGAGGATTAATTCTGGAAGGGCATGTATGTCTCTGTGCACAAAGATATTAATAGACACTGTACATTTTTATTTCCTAAATTTGGAGATAAGGATATCATATTTCATTCTATTTATTTACTTATACCTATGTTACAAAATATTCACCTAGGATTTCAGAATTTATAAATTACATTAATCTGATGCTCAGAATAATCCTTTAGAAGTAAGAACAGCAGATATTACATTGTCCCTGGATTACATATGAGGAAATTGAAACTCAAAAAAGGAAAGAATTTGCCAAGGTCATAAATGGAAAAACTGAGATTCAGAATCTTGTGCTATCATACTTGATCATAAAAATTTAGATTTCAACTCCAAGTCAAACATCAACTTAGAGCAGTAGTTTTACACGCCACAAAGGTGAATATATAAAAGTACAAGTTTAACAAAACAAATGTGCGCTAAAAAGGTTACTACAAGTGGGCCTGAGACTATTATCCTTAGAGAGGCTTGCATGCACAGCTAGCCCTTGGCTGGAGTATGGGAGATACTAAAGATTTCAGGAGCTTCCTCCATTCTCCAGATAAGAACAGCTTGCTGTGTCTAAACTGTAAACAATATGGTTTATGGTGGACACCTGTTTTCTTATGAGTCTAGAATTTTTGTACATGTTAGGAAAATGGGACCAATCCCAATTAAAACTCTGGGCCCTAAGTCTCTAATAAGCTTCTCTCATGGAAAGTATTTGATGTGCATTCTCACAACCTTCTGATGAAAGAATTAAGTACATTCTGTGTGACTTCATTGGGAGAACTCCTGGGAGCTTGTCTGATTTCCTACAGACTTCACTACATGTCCCCTCTTTCTTTGCTGATTTTGTCTTAAATCCTTTTGCTGTAGTACCTTATATTCATAAATATGACTGCACTGAATTCTGTGATTCCTCCTAGAGAATCATTAAACCTAGTTATGGTCTTTGGGACTCTTGACAGAAAATGTTAGACCAAAAAAATAATAAGATTAAGGATACATACATGCATGTTAAGAGGGTCTACTAGATGAGCAGCAATACTCATTTCATATTCTGAAAGCTTCACATTTTTCACACCAATTTGTTTCATTAATTTTTCTGCCTAGAAAGAAAAAACAAGCAACTTCCTTTAGTTTGTTATTTAGACACTAGCACTTCAAAACATGTACCTGTGAAGCCTACAGAGCAATGAACAGACAGGCAAGATTTTCCAGATATCCTACACCATCTGATTTCATCCCTCCCCACTGTTAAGTCCTTAGGTTAAAAAAAAGAAAAAGATCTGAAGGTCTACTCTACAAAAACCAGGGCAATTTAAATCAGCTCTTGGGAAATGAGAAAATAGAGCATGTGACTGAAGAAATATACACAGCCTCTCGGTGCTACAGTGAGACTCTAAGGTCCAATCAGATTTCCCTTTCCTAGGAAGATTACGATGACAGATGCAGATGAAGCTTTAAGACGAGAGATCAAGGAGTTCAGGGTATTAAGAAATGGACAATTGAAGTCTCTTTCCTTAAATTTGTAGAGTATCTGAAAACAGGTGTCTAACTTTCCTGAAATTACCTATATATTTACAACAGGTGTTCTGACCTACCTAATTTCAGATTGTTCTCTGATGCTACCCTTTTTAGTTAAAGTCAATTCTTGAGGCTAGGCAACCAGAGACAATAAAAATACTTTTGAATTAGGAGTATGCTTGCACATATCTTTTGGAGAAGGGAATGGCAACCTACTCCAGTATCCTTGCCTGGAAAATTTCAGGGACAGAGCCACCTGGCATGCCACAGTCCATGGGGTCACTAAGAGTCCCCCAAGACTGAGCAACTAACACTTTCACTGTCACATATTTTTAGAGCTGGGCAAAACCAGCCTTAAATTGTAAGCTCTAGTAAAGCAACAAAGCTTTCAATTAAAATAAGGATAAGGATAAACATTTACTGAATGTGCCATAAATCATGACAAAACTAGACAGATTAACTCACTGAATTTTCAGAGATCCTAGGAAGTAGGTACAATTTTTCCCCAACACAGAGAAAGCAACTGAAGCTTATTCAGACTAAGTTATCTGTCTTAGTTTAAGTTAGCAAATGGAATAGACAACATGTGAATCCAGGCAGTCCCAACTTGAGCCTATATTCTAACCATCACATATATAATTTTGGTTTCCTTAATTACATGATTAGAGTCTGTGGCCACTAGAGACAACATATTCCCATTTCAATTAAGTGAATCTTTTTAGAAATGAAGGTGCCCTGATAAATCACATTTACCTAGATTTTTGCTGTTACATTTTCCTAGAACACTTCTGATTATATATAATCTCGCTATTTGTCAGCAATATTGCTACTCTTAAAAATATTCACATCACACGGCATGATTGTAGGTTAGTTACAGGATTAGGATGTGTGTTGATCATATAGTATTATGGCACTTTTTAAAAGTGCTAAGAACCACATCATTTTTCCTCATTAGCCACCCTCTATAAATTTACTGTATTAATGGATAAAGCAGCATTTTCCAGATTCTTCTATCTCTTTCTTACAAATAACTTCTCTTTCACTGACTTCAAATGTGTCGGCTGTAAAAGGTATCCTGTTTTCTGCACCTGTAACCTATAACAGCATTTAACTCTTCTTTTTCACTGTACTTCTATAAATCCCACACGTGAAACCATCCCACACGTGTTCTTGTTAGGCCATGCTCTAAAACACTGGTTCTCAATCAGGGGTGACTTTGTATCCCCAGGGGACATTCAGCAATGTCTGAAAATACCTTTGGTTATCACAACTTAGGTGCTAATATTTCACTTAAAATTTTTACATTCATTTTAAAGTTTTGGAATTGTCGTTATGCTACCCTCTTAGAAAGGTTTGGTGTTTCCTCTTTTCCTACTGTCTAGGAAAGTTCATATAAAATTGTTATTATTGTTTCTTAAATCTTGCTAGAGTTTGCCAGTACAATCCTATGAGCTTGTAGTTTTCTTTATGGAAATATTTTTTCCAATATCAATTTATTTCATAGTTATGTAAGTATTCATATATTCTAATTCCTAAGTCAGCTATGGTAATTTACAATTTTCTAAGTTTGTCTATGTCATTTAGGTTTTCAAATTTACTGATATAATTATTAACTGTCAATTTTTAATGCCTATAGCATCTGCCATTGCATTGTCTTTACCATTCTTAGTAATAATTATTGGTAGCTTCACTTTTTTCTTGATTGGTCTTACAGAAGTGTCAATTTTATCAGTCTTTTCAAATAACCAACTTTTGGTAGTACTGAGTTTTTCTATTATATATTCATTTTCTATATTTCTATTCATTCTCTCATTATTCTACTTTTTATTAATTCATCCTATCTTTATTATCTACATTCGTTCACTATCCATGGGTTTACTTCGTTTTCCTCAGCCCAAGTTGGATACTTACTTTATCAATTTTCTACCTTCTTTTCTAATAAAAATACTTAAGAGCATAAATTCTCCCTGTGCTATGCTTAGTTGCTCAGTTGAGTTCAACACTTTGCAACTCCATGAACTGTAGCCCGCCAGTGTCCTGTCCACGGGCATTCTCCAGGCCTGATACTGGAGTGGGTTGCCATGCCCTTCCCCAGGGTATCTTCCCTTCCCAGGGATCAAACCCAGGTCTCCTACATTGCAGGCAAATTCTTTACTGACTGAGCCACCAGGGAAACCCAAGAATATTAGAGTGGGTAGCCTATCCCTTCTCCAGAGGATATTCCTGACCCAGGAATGGAACCGGGTTGCCTGCATTACAGCCGGATTCTTTACCAGCTGAGTTACCAGGGAAGCCCCAAATTCTCCCTAAATACTAGCTAATATTTTAAGTTTAATTAAATTACAATATCATTTCTATGTGTTCTTTTATCTAAGAGTTATTTAGAAATGTTCCCTACTCTCCAAACTTACTGGATCTGTCTAATGATCGTATTGTGCTGCAACGTAGCCAGTGTGTGTGTGTGCACTTTGTTGCTGAGTCGTGTCTGACTCTCCGCGACCTCAAGGACTGTAACCCGCCAGGCTCCTCTGTCCATGGAATTTTCCAGGCAAGAATATTTAAGTGGCTTGCCATTTCCTACTCCAGGGAATCTTCCTGACCCAGGGGTTGAACCCGTGTCTCCTGTGTCTCCTGCATTGCAGGCAGATTCTTTACCCACTGAGCCATCAGGGGAAGTCCTGTAATAAATACGCTACCAGTAAAATGAAACTTCAGATTTTGCTTTACAAGCCAGAATTTGTTTTAATGTCACAAATCTTATATGCATGCTTGGGAGATGCACTCAACATGTTTTGGGTACAATGTACAACATACAGGCACACATAAAGCTTGTTATTTGTTTAGATCTACATTCTCTAAAAATGTTTCATCTACCAATTATTGAAAGAAATGTTTAAAACCTTCCACCATGATGATGAATATGTTATTTCTCTCTGAATTTCCATGTATTTTTATGTATTTTAATGCTATATTAATAGATGCACACAAATACAGAAATGTTATATTTCTTGGTGAATTGAATTTTTAATCATCCTGTAGTGAACCTCATTTTCTCTATTAATATTTTTGCCTTAAAGTTAATTTTTGTTCAACCAGCTTTCTTGATGCTTTATGTGCATTTTTCAACTTATGTTAAATACAACTTAAATTTCTTTTTCTAAACCATAACTACATCTGTGTCTTTAGTTAAATACATACAGTCTTTGGGGGTCAAAGAATATCATCTTTGAGGCTTTGATGGGAATATCATCTCTGAGGCTCTCTACATCTTGGATTGGTACTATGCTTTGTATTCTGACCTCCTCTAGATCATAAAAACAGAAGCTCAAATTTTGTAGGTTTAGCAAATTCCACCAATTGTAAAAGTTAGCCATCAAATTCAACTTACCTTTCTGAATTTTTGCTTTACATTTTTTATCTGCATACTTTACTTTCTTACAAGCTCATGAATGACTATGATTTTAAACATGTAGATTGTTTAGTTATTTTCAGCAGGGAAGTCAGTCCAGGTACTTACCATACTGACCTATTCATTCTCCACTTGGTCTGCACCATCTTCCTATCCTCTAAATGAAGGGTTACTCTTCAGCCTATTATTTATATTACGTAACATCTCCTTTAGAGACCTCCCAGTCGCTAGTATCTATTGTAGTGACATATTACATATGCTCTCAACATATTTGAATGTATAAATCCTAATGGTTGAAGGAGCAAAGTGGAATAGTAATTTGGTGAAAAAAAACCTCAAATTTTACTGTGGAAAATTCTTAAAGAGATGGGAATAACATATCACCTTAACTGCCTCCTGAGAAACCTGTATACAGATCAAGAAGCAACAGCTACAACCATGGAAAAATGGACTGGTTCAGAATTGGGAAAGCAATAAGACAAGGCTGTATTGTCACCCTGCTTATTTAACTTATACGCAGAGTACATCATGTGAAATGTCAGGCTGGATGAATCACAAGCTGAAAGCAAGACTGCCAGAAGAAATAACAACATCATATATGCAGATGATACTGCTCTAACAGCAGAAAGCAAAGAGGAACTAAACAGCCTCTTGATGAGGGTGAAGAGGAGAGTGAAAAAGATGGCTTTAAACTCAACATTAAAACAACTAAGATCATGGCATCCAGTCCCATCACCTTGTGGCAAATAGAACGGCAAAAAGTGAAACCAGTGACAGATTCTCTTTTCTTGGGCTCCAAAATCACTGTGGATGGTGACTGCAGTGATGAAATTAAGACACTTGCTCCTTGGAAGAAAAGCTATGACAAACCTAGACAGTGTATTAAGAAGCAGAGACATCACTTTGCTGACAAAAGTCTGTATGTATATCAAAAGGTATGGTTTTTCCAGCAGTCATGTACAGATATAAGAACTGGACTCTAAAGAAGGATGAGAGCTAAAGAATTGATGCTTTCAAATTGTGGTGCTTGAGAAGACTATTGAGAAGCCCTTGGACAGCAAGGATACCAAACCAGTCAATACTGAAGGAAACCAACCCTGAATATTCATTGGAAGGACTATGCTGAAGCTGACACTCCAATACTATGGCCAGCTGATGCAAAGAGCCAACTCA